CGGAGAAGAGAGATGCGAGCGGCCTGGTGGCAGTTATGCACCTTACTCTGGGAATGCCTCCTCATGAGTGAGGGCAGTCCTCTCCTCTGCAGAGAGGAACGGCCTGGATTCTGCACTGCTGGGGCCACCCAGCCAAACAGGGACAGGGAGAAGCCCAGTAAGGCTGCCTCAAGAGAATCCAGATCCCAAACCTCTATGAACGGCTGCAGTGCCCATACACAACTGTAATGCCCCGCGCTTAGGGACGTGTTTGCGGCTGAGGCCAAAAACTTAGATTCCCCTGAAGGACAGCTATGGGGGCCCCAATGCTCAGGTACGCCCATCACATTCCCCAGAGATCTTTGCAAGATGGGCAGTGCCTACGTGCGCACGATCTTGCAAAAGACACGAAAGCCATTCCTCACCGTCTGTCCCCTTTCTTATTGTTCATATAAAGAATGCTCTAGGTATATTTTTAGTGCTCAGCACCACGCTGTTCCCTCTCCATTAAAGGACGGTTACTGCACATTAGTCACTGCATCGGAATGACACACTGCATCCATAATTCTGGAGGCAGCACGATCCTAGCTTTGAGCAGATTTCGTCTTGCCAGTGCGACCCAAAAGCAGCACTGAAGCAGATGCCATTAAACAAAGAAGACCAATCAATGTCTAAAGCAAAACAAAAGTGCGTATTGTTAGCATGCTGACAACGTGGCCGCTCTATCACGCTAATTGGCCCCCCAGGAGGATTCCTATACGGAACTGTGCAGGGGCAACGGCGGTCCATCAGGATGCACTGAAAGCTCTTTGAGGGAAACCCAGCTCCACTGAGTACAGCTGCTGTGTCTGATCTGCCCACAGCAAAACTCCTGCTAGGACAGGTAATAGCAGAACGGAACAGGTAAGCTTGTGCCCATTACTCGGAGGAGGATAATTATCTGTATCTAAGCAAAACAAGATAAAGCATCCTTTCATATACTCAAGAGCTGTTGCCTTGACAGGCACAGACCTTGAGGCCCAGTCGGATCTGACACTTGGCCAAGCCAGCGCTGAATTCACAGATTCTTTGCTGCCACGGAACACGTATATACGGAGGAGAAAGAGCGGATGGAAAAGTGGTTGGCCAGCAGTTTTCTGCTCCTCCTGCTCTACCCATGAGTTGCCTTCAGCTTTTTCTCCTGACTTCACGCCCCTGTGATGAAACAGTGGTGGCAGGGGAGGACCTGCATTCGCCAACGGACGCCCCCATTCCGCAAACCTTTAGCCTCTGTTCTGGTCTGCACACGCTCTTCTGAACTCCTTGAGTTCTCAAGTCGAGCTGGGCAAATCGAATCTCACCGAGGACCAATGAATGGGCCAATGTCTGGCTTTTCAGATACTGAAATGTCTGCTGGGAGCCTGTGGGCATGTGTGTGTTTCGCACAGATGTGTGCTTCTTCTTTTTCTTCCCTTCCTCCTTTTCTTTAGTTTTGAAAGTGTTTTTTATGTTGTGTTTTTACTGAATGTTTTAATTATTGTTATTGTATTGTTATATTGCCATTTTAACCTTTTGTAAGCTGTCCTGAGGTGTTTTTTTTTTTTTGGCAAAGGACAGGATAGAAATGTATTAAATAAATAAATAAAATAGATGCAAATAAGAACAATTGGTTTTCTCTGATATGGATTCAACCACGTTTTTGTTTGACTGCACCTCGTTATTAAGCACTCTAGGCAATACCTTCAACCATTGCAGGCACCCACAACCACCTGAGAGGACACTGTCATGTGTGATGCTCCAAGCTACCCAACTACGGACCCTGATGCTTCACTTTCAAGTGCCAGCAGGCATTTCTCCTGGTTTCTTTTGCTGTCCATATGCATGGCCACCCCTTCAAGTGCAGAAGCAGCAAGGTTGGATTCTGATGCTTCAAAGGAAGACTGTAGGTTTAACATGAGGCAGGCTGAAATGCTCTCTGTGAGGTATTTCATAGAACAGCTTAAAGCTGAGCACCCAGCCACTCCACCTGTGGCATTCACATGCCCAGGATCTGTGGCTTCTAGGACACTGCCCTGATGTCTCAACCCTGGGGGCATAGCAGCTTGGATCTTGTTTCAAAATGAGGCCCTGGCACTCTGGCAGCTGCCAGGGGGCACAAGAGGAGGCTGTACTGAGGCCACCATGGAACAGGATCCACGTGCACAGAATGAGACACTAGGCAGAACCTGAGATGGAAGGACCTGTGGCATAAGATGCACCTGGGGGAACTGCAGGCCTGAACTTCTTCCCCATCCCGAAAATGAGAAGCTGGGAGAACATGCTCCCTGCAAACAGAGAAATCCTGGAGAAAAATGTGAGAGAAGATGTTGCTTATCACTTCCTGATGGGCAAAGTTATGGTATAGATGGAGCTTTTCACAGGGGCTGGGGAGGGCAGGGGGCGCATTTTAAGACACAATGCATATCAGCGTAAGAGGAGCCCTGGGGAATCAGAGCAAAGGTATATTAAGTCCAAGACCAAGAGCAGGGCCTGAGTTCAAGGGCACCCACCTCACCAACTGGGACGCAGATGCAAAATTTCTCTGATACTAGAGGTGATATTTTACCTGCTGGAGTAGCAGCCAATGCTAAGCTGATCCCCCACGAACGTGGCTAACTTCCTTTTACATTCACCCGAGCCGATGGCCATCACTGCATCAGCAAATTCCCTGATTTAACTTAGGTTTTCCCAACATCACCCACTGAAAGTAATTTCTGGAATAGCTCTTTCCTCTTCCACTTACGCGATTCTTATTACATCATCATCATCATCATCATCATCATCATCGGATTACATTCATCCCCCACCTTTCCTCCTCTTGCAAGGAACCCAAGGTGGCTTACAAGAGCCTCTTTCTTTCCATTTTATCCTCACAACAACCCTGTGAGTAGAACAGGCTGAGAGTCCATGACCGGCCTCAAGTGAGCTTCATAGATGAATGAGGACTAGAACCCCGATCTCCTTAGCCCAGTCCAACACCCTTAGTTTGGAATAATTGCTACACCACCATGGGCTCTGATTGTGCCACTGCGTGCAAATTCTACTAATTTCCAAAATCTACCCTGCGGGAGAGAAAGCAAGCTCTGTACTGCACAATTCCATCATATTATAGCCCTGTAACCAGTGTAGACAGCTTCAGCACAGCTGAATTATATTATCAGCATAAAATGAAAGCATCCCAATCATAGGAAAATTATCTCTTCTTCAACAAAGGTTCATTATTTAAAGGGGCCATTCAATTAAACAATATATTAGATTAAGAAACACCTTCAGAAAAGGATCATAACAAGAGGAACATTCTTATGCCTGCTCACTCATCCTCTTAAGGAAAGTTTACAGAAGAAGTTTTCTTCTGTCCTGATTCTGGTAGCTTAGCACTGGAAGTTATCTTCAACTGAGCAAAACCTTGTGAACACAAAAATAACTTTTAAATGTCATTTTGTACCTATGTACCAAAAGTACCTACTGTGCTTTGCTTTAAACTCTGCTATTTTTAGTGTGGAGTGTTGCAAGAAAATTGCAAGGTTATCTAGTCTTAACTGTTGCTGTCGTTGTTACATGCTGTCAAGTCGTCTCTGGCTTTAAGTGGCCCCACGAATGGAAGCCCTCCCAAATGTCCCATCCATGACAGCCCTGCTCAGCTCCAGCAAACTCAAGGCTGTGGCTTCCTTTATAGACGCAACCCAAGTCATATCTGGTCTTCCTCTTCTCCTGCCTTCTGCCCTCAAATTTCCCCAACATACTTGTTTTCTCCAGGGAATCTTGTCCTCTCATGATGTGCCCAAAGTACAGCAGCCTCCATTGTGCTTCTAGGGAATGTTTTGGCTAGATTTGATCTGGAAAGCACTCATTCATCTTTCTATTACTCCAGAGTTTCCCTTCCTCTCAGTGCTCCTCTCCATGTCTTGAATGCATCCATGTTCACGAACCCACCAAAACTACTCCAGTCAAGTGGCTTCACTGGCCTGATTACACCTAGCTAAATCCACATCTCAGGTGCTTCACATAAATACCTTGTCTTCACAATGGCAATCATACATAACATATGAAGCAGCCCTTAGATGAAGGGCAGACAGAGGGACTGAAGATTCTATCTATCTGTAATGTTGATGTGTCCAGTGTCAACGTGAGAGCCAGAAGGGTGAGGTGGCTAAAAGTGCTGGACTGGGTCTCAGAGAATCAAGGCTCTAGGCCTCAGCCATCCATGAAGCTCACTGAGGGACCTGAGGCCAGCCATGAACTCTCAGCCTGACCTTCCTCACAGGGTTGTTGTTCTGAAGATAAAATGGAGGGGAACCTTGCAATCCTTCCAGGTTCTTTGCACGAGGAAGAATGGCCCGGTCTAAATGCAATGCAACCCACTGAGGACGATGAGAGTGATGCAATAAACACAATGTCACAACGGGAGTAGCTTAGAGGGCAGGGTTTGCTCCTTCAATTATACTGTCACATGTGATCTACAGATACCTAGAGGGCATGACAAATGTCCTAGAACTGGATAGCACTGCTGTTGCTGCATCAGGTCTCCAGAACTTGCAACCCACAAGCCCACCAATGGTCTCCCCCTTTTAGGTTGTACCAGACCAGCTGCAGAAACAGGAGAGCTGAGCTGTGTTTGCCTTGGTGGGTCTCAAATTGTGTAGGCCCGTACTGGATTTTGCTCATACTAAAGGTTCCTATAGGTTCTGAAGAGGTTCTTAGAGGTCCCCCAACCTGCAGCCTTTGGGATATGTTGGTCTGGAAGTTCTGTACTTTCAGCACATTTCAAGGGCAGCAGATTAGTTCTGAACTGCTAGGCGAAAACATGGGCTCCTGAAGAGGCAAATGAAGGAGAAAAACATGTAACTTCTAATCCTGCATTCCCCTCAGAACAAAGTCCTTTGTTTTCATTTACAATGGTCAGCCATGACAGAGAGAAATCAAATTGAAATAAACTGCTTCTCAGAAATGTCAAGCACACAATATCAACATTATTATAGAATGCACAATAAAATACTTCATACCTGGAGTTGAAAAAACGAAAAGTGTTAACTGCTGACCTGGCACAGCCCCACATGCTCTCTCTGGAAATTGAACACAGACAATTAGGAATTTTAAGAGACCCCAAATAACTGCAGAGGGTTGTAGACAACAGGGCGGAAAATGTATAACAAATCCAACAACAAGCTCAGAGCCCACGTCTAGGATTTTAAATTTATCCAGCCAGAAAAATACTAGCATTTCAACACCTATGAGTGATGTCTAATATGAATCAATTCCACCACTGGCAAATGTGAAGAGCTTTACACTCTACATGTCTACTCAGAAGTAAGCCCCAGTAAGTTGAGTAAATAAGACTCACACCCAGATAAGTAGGGATGGGAATGCACTCTCAGTGGTTAAAAGAAATGTTATCCTGGCATGTCCTGTCTGTGGAAAAGTTTGACACTTAGTCAATAAGTACACAGTGCTGTACCTTGCAGAAGAATCATTGTAAAGCCCAGTCTGGCTTTCCATCCCCTTGTTTGGGTGCAAGAGTGTCCCTGGCACTGCATGGAATGGAAAACTGGTGCATTTTCAGTGAAGAGTCTCATGCCTTCCTCATCCAGCCCAAAGCCCCAGTGAAGAATTTACTTTGGCTTGAAGCTGGAGGAAAATTATGGACCATGGGTTGGAGAGCAAATGGCTGGCAGAAAAGCATCAAGAAGTATGCCAACTCCTCTTTCCGGGTATGTGTGTATGCTGAGAGAGTATTCTGGGGCAGGGGGCGGGGGAAGCTGCAATCTAGTTCTTAAAGTTTATTTCTAAGGTTAGGAAAGTTTGTGCAGTACAAATTCAGAATTTCACCCACTCCAAGGAAACAGAAGCAAGAGTAAAGCAGCATGATAGATGCTTTATGAATACTAAAATGGAATTAACATTTAAGTGAAATCCCAAACCATGCCAGGCTCTGTTTGCTGTTTCAGCACATTAAGGAAAATACTGGCAGTCAAAAATGTTAATTTAGAACTTAAATATAATGATTTCATGAAAATATACTACAGGGTGCACAAGTGATATTTTACTACCATGGTGTTATATTAACTATATAATGCTTTTTGTATTAATTTACAATATATAAAACATCCCTGAAAAAATTCTGACCAGCTACATTGCGGCTGATAGAAGAAGCTAATTCAATGGCTTAAATAAATAGTTCTACTACTTTAAAAAATAGCTTGCACATACTCCGCAGAGCTTCACTCTCTTCTGCTGGAGATATAGAGAAATACCCACAGGACCAGAAAATATGTAACAACTCATTTTGCTGCACTGGAAACTTCAAGGATGGCATAGGGATCCTTAATAAAACATGAATTTTAATGCACTAAAGTGAATTTCAGAAACATAGTATGGATTCGTATTTGCAACCCAATGCAAGCTTACTTGGGGCTCAATGGAGTATTTCAGGAAAAAAACAGGTGGGAAAGAAGGCTTAATTCCCCACCTCCACCCTAAATTGCAGCATTACAGACCACATCTAAATCAGGGCTGCGACTGCTTACCGGAGAAGAGGAAACGCTCGCCTATGTAGCTAGGCTAGGCACATTTTCTCGAATGTTTACTTTGGCCCTAAGTCTTCTCCGTGGAATGCTGACCCATCATATGCTACGTTCAGCTGCAACCATGCAAAGACACCACAGCTAGTCTTCACTGAGAGCAGAGAGAAACTGGATGCAGCAATCCATCAAGGATAACTTGCCACAGTGGTCCACTTCCCACAGGATGACTTATTTGAACCTGGCGCACTGATCCCATCCTGGGTCCAGGGAAGCAGCAAACTACCCACCTGGCGAGAGCACAAAAGCACTTTGCTGCTGTTGCTGAGCTAGCCTGAGCCAGCGACAGACACTCTAGCGAGTGGTCTTGGGTGCAGATGCCCCTGTCAAAAAACCCTCTTTAGCCCCGTCAAACAGGCCTTATTTTTGACAGCTCCTGTAAATCGGATGGGTTGTACTTCTCAAATTCCTGAGTGCCTAGAATCTAAAGAAAGGGTGAAAAAAAGACAGAGGACACTGACAGCTGTCAAGCCCACCCTTAAAACCTGCAGGATCTCACTAAGAAGGGTGTGATTGACTTCTCCTCCTTTTTCAAGTAACAATCTTCTTGCAGCTTTGCTTTCACTTGGCAGCTGTCAAATGGAGGCAAAGTGATGTCTTGGCAACTGGGCTTTACCAGTGTCTGTGGATCCTGCCTGCTTTGACAGCAAGTACTTACCAGTGTATTGAACTAGGCAAGACTTCAAATGTTGGCTAGCTGAAGTTAGGCAGTTGTACAACTCTGAACTAAC